CCCCCAGACCACGCCTCCTGATGAAAGACCTCTCAGTCTCCCTCCTGCTATATCTGCTGCACAGTTGTCTTCGTTTTCTATTGGTGCTATAATGAATACATTTAGTGGCTTAAAACAACACGCATGTATACTCTTACAGTTCCGGAGGCCAGACGTCTGAAATCAGTTTCACTGAGCTCCTGTCAACATGTCAGCAGCTGGTTCCATGCAAAGGCTTCTGGGGACAAACTGTCCCCTTGCCTTTCCAGTTTCTAGAAGCCACCCACATTCCTTGTTCCTGGCCCTTTCCTCTATCTTCAAAGCAGATCCCCTCCATCCCAAGGCCTTGTTTGTCACTGACCCTCCTGCTTCCCTCTTAGGAAGAATGTGATTCGCACTGAGCCCACCCAGATAATCCAGGATAACCTCCTTGTCTCAAGCCTTTAACTTAGTAACATCTACAAAGTCTGTTTTTGCCATGTAAGGTGACATTCGCAGGCTCCAGGATGAGGCTATGGACATCTTTAGGAGCCATGATCCAGTCTCCCACGGCCTTCCACTTCCTAGAGATTCTTCTCTTTCCTCCCAGTCAGTCCCCTCTTGACATTAACTACCTTTCTTATCCAACCCAAAAAAATGAGTTGAAAGAAACTGTTCTTTCCGGCATCTTCAATTCTCTCACACTCTTTTCCTTACATCAAACCTGCCTGGATAACCCCTCCTGGAACAATTCTATAATCTGCCTTCTCTGTTCTTATAATCAAGAAATCCGTCTTATGGGATAAAATCTCCCCTTTCCTGTGTAAAACCTGCAACTCCATCTCTGCTCCTAATCCCTTTCCCTCCCTTTGGGATTTCTCCAGAAATTATTGTTTAGATTCTCCATCTCTGCCCTTCATCTAGATCCTTTCCCTCAGAAATAAATATTTTCTCCTATCAAAAAGAAAAACTGGCCAGGCGCAGTGACTCCATCCTGTAATCCCAGCACTTTGGGAGGCTGAGGCAGGTGTATCAGTCGAGGTCAGGGGTTCGAGACCAGCCTGGCCAACATGGTGAAACCCTGTCTCTACTAAAATACAAAAATTAGTCAAGCATGGTGGTGCACGCCTGTAGTCCCAGCTACTCGGGAGGCTGAGACAGGATAATCGCTTGAACCCAGGAGGCAGAGGTTGCAGTGAGCTGAGATCAGGCCACTGCACTCCAGCCTGGGCAACAGACCGAGACTCCATCTCAGAACAACAACAACAAAGAAAAGCAAAAAAAGAAAAAATGAGGACTTCTTGTTCTGGGCTTGTTTCTCCCTGGCTAAGTATAATTTAAAATCCTAGACACAGTACAACAAATAAACCTAAGAGAACTACAAAGTGTTGAAGGAGGAAAGCAGACTAACAAGGACTTTAGGATTTAAGGAATCTGTGTGAACAGGGTTCAGTTCTCTGGGTTTTCTTTTTATCTCCCATATATCCTGGACTTAGAACTGGAAAATCCTATAAATGGCAACAACCAACAAGCAAACACAATTTAAAAAGAAAAAAAGCCCCAGGAAAAGTCTGTTCTGTCTAGTCAAAGAACAGGAAAAGGAGCAATCCCTCAAAACAAAAATGTTGATAATACTCCTCCTACCCCTATCAAACGCAAGGCACGGCCCCCTGCTTCCAGTGTCAGTGAAAACCAAACAGAAGTCTGGGATTCCCCTCCACACTTGGTGGCAGCAAGTGACCTGGGACGAGGCTTCCCTCCCCACCTGCCAGCACTGTGTTGCTGGACTGCGCATGGGGTTCTGCACTCCTTTCTCCCAATTACATGATCTTACTTGGATTTTGTAACATTTTCTTTTTGCTTTGACCACTGCTTCTTCTTGAAACATGCTCTTCCCTTGCTGTGTCCAGGAAACCACAGTATCCTGGGTTTCCCTCTCACTGAGCTTTTCACCCCCCATGCCCGGGATCGTCTTTTCCTACCCAATTATGTTTAGCCATTCTCTAGGTTCTGATCTTTGCTCATTTCTTTATTCATGTGGCATGTTTTCTTTATTCATGTGGCATGTAGCCTGCCTTCCATTCCCCTAGATTTTTACTTACTTAAAAAAAAAAAAGTCAAAAAAAGAGTAATAATCCTGGAAAATGAAAAAAAAAAGTCACATTCATTGAAGTGTAATTTACACAGTTCACCCATTTTAGTGTTAAGTTCTATGAATTTTGACAAATATATACAGTCTTGTTACCACCATCATAATGAAGATAAAGAAGATCTCCATCACCCCCAAAATGTTCCCTTATATTCTTTGTTGTCATCCTTTCCCCCACCTCCAGTCCTTGGCAACCACTGGATCTGTTTTCTGTCCCTATAGTTTTGCCTTTGCCAGGAGATAATTTTCCTGTACACTTTTACATCTAACAATAAAGACAATGCCTTCACATTTATCTCTCTCTCTAATGTTAACCTTTCTTTTGAGCTTCAGACTCACCTCTCCGATGTCTCCTGTTTGGGTCAGATTTAGGATTTTTTTCTTCATGCGTTGAGAAGGTTGAGTGATTCGAAAGTTACCCAACCTCTGTGAGTTTTAGTTTTATTCCATAAAAGAGGGTAATGGTACTTATTTTGCTATTTATTGGGGAGGTTAAATAAGATAAACGTCACCAAGGAGACTACAAGACTGGATGTACACAATAGATGCTCAATACACCATTAATATCAGCTGCTTTTGATGACGTTTCATTTCCTCAAAGGGACCTCAAAGTTCCCCGGCCACCTTCAGATAATGAAGCACGGGGTTTCTGAGTCATAGACCCACTTGCTGGAGAGTTCAGGCCTCATCAGAGACTAGAAATCATTCTCCCCACTGGCCAGTGCTATGTGTTGCTACAACATGTCAGGTGAGAGGATGTGTAACTCTTCAGATAACTGCTCATCTGAATTCTCAGAGACTTTGCAGGACAATTGAGTCTTGCAACCAACCAATTACTTCATGTAATGAGAATGCCTCAGGATCTCTGGTTAGCTTCAAGTTTATGGGGCTGATTTATATCTGAAATGAAGATTGTTTCATTTCAGATTCCTTTTACTTAAAGGCAAAAATAAAGCACAATGTTATCTTGCAGCAGATACTGCTCCAATGATTATTCATAAGGCCTCCAGGGCATTTCTAGTAACGTGTGTATGAACCGCCTTGTTTCACACTGGATGGGTACAGGGAGAGGTGGCAGACCCACTCATTCCTACAAGGTTCTGTATTCTCGGTCTCCATGTTTCCACGTACGTGACCCAGTAGCAATGTGTAATACATTCTGGGAAGCCATGTGATACTTCAGTGGATGCTGCTTCTCAATTTCTCTCTAGTTGAACTAAAAAAAAAAAAAAAAAAAAAAAGTCCTTTAATAAAAGTAAACTGACAAGGATCACATTTTTCTCATTTCAAACACACAAAAAGGAATTAAAATGTTATGAAATATGCCAGGCCGTTTTTACTAATCCCTTAACCTCCAGAGAAAGGGCTTGCAATTAGTGTTACATTAGAATCGTCATAGTTTAGCAATTTTTTTTTAATACTAGAAGGACTTCAGCTGATTTTATGCTACACATATACACTAAACATACAGTTAGTGTAACCAAAAAAATTAAAATTACAATTGAGGTGCCACACAGTAAGTGAAAAAGGTTTAATGGTCTGTCTGGTCATAGAGCTAATAACCACTTTATGCAGAATGCAGTGAAACAAAGGTGCCTTTCTCAATAGCCAGAGTGCATTTGTGGCCAGCACTATTTTACTAAGGCCATATACAGCTGTACTTGGTTATAGGCACATTTGTTAAGGGAGACTATAAAAAACAGCTGTATTTGAGATTGCATAGACCTCTGCACATTTTCTCCCTGTGGCAGCCAATCAGAAATCTTGCTGACAGGCAAACTTGTACGGAAGAAATGATCCTATTTAGATTAATTCCTCTTAATGCCTTACCCAAGCCTACTTTCCTGGCATATCATGTAGAGAGCAGGTCAGTTCCATTCAAAACCTAGAGATAGAAAATTCAAGCTTGATTAGTTGATAATATATATGACTACACTGGTAGAGAACGTGGAGTGCTCACTCTGTAAAAGTAAGGCTAGTGGGCTCTACCCCAGCTCAGAGTTGAGCCACAAGGCACTCTGGAATATGAGCGCCCAGCCAGGAAGCAGTCTAGGGAATTGGTTTTAGCTGTGGCTCTTTCCTTACTGTTTTGGTCTTCACTCTCCACCCAGAACCAGGATACACCCATACCCTTTGCCATGAAACTCTGAAATGCCGTTCCAGTCCCTGGTTCTGGGCTTTTTTGCCCATAGGATGTTAACCAGAGCCCCAAAGAGGACTGAAATGTGCTTACTTGGCTGGGCTGGCTTGCTCTCCTGCCTCTGCAATTGACCTGAGAAGAACATACCCGGGTTGCCCACTGGGCCCACTAGAATAATGGGAGACCCACGGAGCAGGTGTGTGAGCTAGTCCAAGCTAAGATCAGCACAGCTATCCAGCCAAGCCCTGCCTAGATGAGAGAAATAAATGCTTTCTGCTGCAGGCCATTAAGATTTTGCAATTTTGCAGTTGTTTGTAATGCAGCAAAATGGTGGCCTCAGTTAACTGAAGCAGTCACCAAAACTGCCTGCCACTGCCTGCATCCCTTTTCCTGTCTGTCCCACAGATCTCATTTATACAATGAAGGAGGGACTGGAGAACCTCTATTCCTACTAATGACACAGCTGCAGACCAGGAATCCTGAGACGAAAACTGATCCAGACTCAAGGGTCTGAGATGTATTCAGGGCCTAGAAGGAGCTGAAGAAAACACTTCCATTGGTACTGAAGTGGGCAGGCAGGGGACTTTGTCTCCAAAAATATCACCATGCATGTGCCAAAACCATGGAAAAAGTCAGCGACAGAAGGAGGGTCTGAAAAACCTGGGCCGCAGTATGTCCTGATAGCCAGCTCTCCAACAAACTTGTTTTTCTATTGGTTTAAACCCAGACAAATAAGCAAGTCAGAGACAGGACTGGAGAAAATGGAAATCTTTATTTTTAAACACTAGTACATTTTCAGGCTGTTTTAAAAAAGAAAAATCATGTTACATTAGTTCAAAACTATGCATCAAAGCATATTTATTTAAACTCTAATTTTACAAACACATAATGAAAGAAACATATATTTTATAAATATCTACTCAGAATATGTATTATGAAAAAAAGTGTTTAAAAATAACAGCCCCAGATCTCCCTCTTTAAATATATAAAATTCGCATACAATTCATAAGAATTCTTTCTCAAGAGCCAAAGTTTCATTTCACAAAGGCCAACAACTCAGTTCCCATCAGACACAATCAAAAGTAATAGGAATATTCAAAAATGTAAAAGTTCTGTACAAGGGAAATACAGATAGCACACGGGTAAATCTCATTAGCATACATGCCATTTGTGTTTTAAAAATGTTTTATAAAAACTGCAATTTGAAACAAGTGAGAGTCCTTCCCTGACTGTGGAAAATATATAAATTATTGCCCTCCCCGCTGGGTACCGAGGTGCCACCTGCTGGAGCTGGAGAGAGAGGTCCCCATGTGTTTCCTGACAGGGGCCTAAGCCGCACAAGGGGACCCGCCTCCTCTGTGGCAGTGGCTTTTCCTAGTGGGTGATTCACTAGTATATCCTTTCACTTAGAAAAATTCTTTGGGATCATAGAAGACAATTGCTCACAAGTGAAAGCAAGACTAGAGATGATTTCAGATTGCTGCATCCAATTAATAAGGTGTATTTTGTATTTTTGGTGACCAAACTCTGGAAACCCAATTTACCACTGTCAGAGACACACCCCGTCACCTATGCCAACAAAACTCATGGCACAGCCCCAAGGTCGTCCCTTCATCTTCTCTCTTCCTACCCAAGCTGCTCTGTGGCCTGCAGCGATGTATGCAGACTACTGTCTCTTCTGGCACTTCTTCTGGAAAGAGCTCTTCAAAAACGTGCGGTACACAGGGTCGGCCACATATTCGTTCTTAAACCTGGAGCTCAGCACTCTTTGTCTTTTTCTCTCCCCTTGGATAATGTCTGCTCCATAAAATGTGTCTTCAAATCGCATGTCAGAGGCTGTGGACTAAAAGCAGCTGGTGTTACAGTGCAAAAGGGCACAGCATTTGATCTTCAGAAGACTGGACAAAGATCTGACTCGGTCAGCTGGGGTTAGGGTGTAGATGCCCCGGGCACCATCTCAGGCTAGAGGGGCTCCAGGCATGACTTTGGGCTTTCCCTCACCTCTCCCACCCAAATTGGGGGGCTATATTTAGCCCCACTTTCTCTAGGATCTCCCCACCCTCCACCCCCAGGGACCTTCCCCAAACAAAAGCAAGATTAACGTCTCATTTTAAACTTCCCTCATTTTTCATCTCCCCTCTGGCTCTTGCCTAATGACTGGCTCTTGCCTAATGAGGTTTTCGACAAATGTCAACAGTCATCTCTAAGTTACCTTTACTCCTACTTAGCTTTGGGCCTCCACCCCACCCCTTCCCTGAAACTGTTCTTACTGAATGAAGTCCTAGTTGCTAATTCCTGTGACATCTTCCTACCCCTAAACTGACTTGACTAGTCTGCCAACTAATTACTGCTTAAAGCTCTCTCTCTTCTCTGTCATTTTGTAAACTCATTCTCCTGCTTCTCCTTCTCTGGCTGCTCATTTTGATGTCTCAAGGGTTCCCTTTCTTAACTGTCTGCTCAACTACAATGCCCTAATGTTTGGCACTGGGCCTTCTCCTCTCCACTCCTGTTCCCCGGGCCTTTATGCCCACACCCCTGGCTTCAGTGTCTGCAGGAGATGCTCCCATCTCCTGCTCCAGCTCAGGCCTGTATAAGTGCATTTCCCCAGCAGGCATCACAAAGTCCTTGTCTCAGAGGCCCTTCAAATCAACCTGTCCTAAATTGAACTGGAAACCTTCCTTCTCCATTGCTGTCCTTCTTACATTCCATAAGAGGCACCACCATCCCCATGCACCCAGTTACACTGGCCAGAAACCTAAAGGCACTGTAGACATTTCCCCACCGTGTCCAGGATTCCTCCTGCATGTACCTTGAAGCCCTTCAGCCTTTCTTGTTAATCCTTACTGACCCTATGGGGTAGGCCCTCACCTCTCCAAACCACGGCAATAAATGCTTTACCTCCAACCTGTTTCCCACAGTACCACTGGAAGAAAGCTCTCTAAAAACCCTCTTATTGTAAGACTCTATATGATCATATGCCCTTGCTTATAATTTCCCAACAGCCAACTGCCTTCAAGATGACATCCTCACTCCCTGGGCTAGACCTACATAACCTGGCCAGAAGCCTGACCCGTGCTCTCCTCAGATGACATCAGTTGCAGGTCCTGGCCATACTTGCCTGGCTCAGGGTCCCATGTTCTCTGTCTTTGGACACACTGTTTCATTTTTGTGAAAGTTACTCTATTCTACTGTCTCTGCCCTCGGCAAGCTTAAGGGTCCTTCTGTGGGTCTCCTGTGGCCCTGACACATCCACTCAGTAGGATGAGGGCAGTGGTAGAGGTAAGGGGCAAATAAGTTTCTCCCCATCAGGGGAACCCCATAAAGATGAGAATATTAGGGACTGTGTACCCAATTTTACATGTGTTCCCCACTGCAAACAACGTGCCTAGTACTCGACTGCTGTTCAGTGTTTGCTGAGTGAGGGCACGTGGCTTTTTCTGTGATAATCAGATAAAGCCTAAAGTCTATGGTAGGCACTATTTTTGCTTCCCAATTCCCTACTATCTTGCTTCCTAAAATGCACTGGCAGCTGTTTTCACTGAGGTGGATGACTTCTGATGACATCAACACACAGCACATTTCACCGTGCTGAGACTGCTTCCCCTGGCTGCTGGCAGAGGCGAAAGACGCTTTAGGACTTGAAAACACACAGTCCATGATAAAGAAGAGAAAAACAAGAAAACAGCTACAAGGAAGCCTGAAAACAAAAAAATGCACCGAAGTGTAAAGCTGTTCATGGGACAGTTACTCTGGGTAAGAGGCCACCTCCACGGCTTCCCCCAGATACCATCTAGCTTCACTAGGGAAGAAAACTAAATCATTATTGGCTGGTTGGGTTCCCTCTGCCACTAGGAGAAAACACTTTTGTTTCATTCATTCTTGGCAAGATACTTCCTCTGAGTAATCTTTCACTTTTGTAAGTGCTAAAGTTATCAAAGAAGAAAATAAAACATCTCTGAAAGTGTTGCCACTGTGCAGAAGCAGCAAAAGTCGGCCTCTCAAATACAATAATAAAAGCGATTTACCAGGAGCTCTAGCTAATTATGCACCGTTGCTATGGTTATTCTGTGAGACAATAAAAGGTAATGGGGCTGTTTCTGAAGTGAGTGGAGAAGAACCCCACACGATCACTGAGGTGGACTGCTGGCTCTTTTGAACAATTTCTCCCCCAGTCAGCGTGTGTCTGGGTGAGCCGAAGTCATTAAAATACAAGGCCTCCTGACAAGGGCTGCTAACCTCCATCCTTAAAAAACAAAAAAGACTTTTCTAACCATAAAATATCTTCCATTAATGAATTTTCCAATTAGATTTGTTTTGCCAACTGGAAAAAAAATACTAATCATGGACAGACTAACCAAGGGTCTAAGGGCTGTGTACCAACCTGAAGGAGAAGCAGGCTGGCTATGGCAACACAATAAAGGTGGCCAACAGGACTTAGTGACTGTGAGCCTTTGTTCCCGAAGATATTTTCTACTTGGCTCAGCCGCTCAGAATAGCAGGCTGCATTCAGAGTGTATGGATGTGATTTATATATTTTCGCTGTTTTTTTTTCTTTTTTTAATTAAAAATTTTCTCTGAGAATAAAAAAAAATTGAATGTTGGTGAGCTTGTTCAGTGAAATAGACCTTAGAAAACCCAGGACCTGCGTTCAGAGACAGCCACAGGGGAAGGCATCCTGGTATCTGAGCGAAATCTTCTGTGAAACAAAGAAATTGTGATCAGAGTATGAAAGCAACGAGCTCTCTTCTCATGTGATTAAGAAATAGTATTTGAAATCTACAAGACTCAGCTGGTAGGATGCTTAGTCATACATGGGTTAGAAAATGAAAGACCTAAGAGACTTCAAGAGGCTACCTACTCTACTCCCCATCCTCTAAATCCCTAGGTGCTGAAAAAGGAAAAGAAAGGAGTGGGAGGAGCAGGGAGTAAGTAAGGGAAGAGGGGAGTCCAAGGAAGATAAGAAGACAGAACGAGAGGAGGCTATCTCTAACATCTCGAAAAGGAAAGTGTTTCTCAAGAAATTTCAGGTCTCAGAACAGTGACAAGTCATCTAAAGTTTTTAGGTCTTCACTAAGATTTGGCTGGTATTTTGACAACAGGAATATTTAATTTTTTCTTTGCTTGCCATTATTATCTAGTGGTTACTCTCTTTACAGGTGTGTGGTCCCCTCTGAGCCATATTTCTCATTGAGTGGGTAGCAATACCACCACTCCTCTTGACAATTTCACTTTGAAGGACCTTCCTGTGAAGGATGTAGCTGAGAGGAAAGTCAGTTCCCACCTGATGCAGTTACTCTGCTGTCAGTATCCCATCTGATGGGAAAAAAGCTGCATATACAACTGAACGTTTAAGGCAAGCTTGTCCAACCCATGGCCCACAGGCTGCATGCTGCCCAGGATGGCTTTAATGCGGCCAAACACAAATCTGTAAACTTGCTTAAAACATTATGAGATTTTTTTGCCTTTTTTTTTCTTTTTTCTTTTTTTTTTTATAGCTTATCAGCTATCGTTAGTGTAGTTTATGTGGGGCCCAAGACAATTCTTCTTCTTCCAGTATGGCCCAGGGATGCAAAAAGATTGGACATCCCTGATTTAAGAAAACCCTTGGTTTTGCCAAAATAACCAAGTAATCTATAGTGTCTCTATCACTGCAGACAAGTATATCATAAGCACACACTAAACTGAAATTGTTATTTATTCCAAAAAAAAAATTCACTTTAGTCAGAAAAACCTCATCCATTCAAATTTCTCTATTTAGGATTTATCATTTCACAGATGCAATAGATATAATTCTAAATGAATAAAACTGACTTCATTTTGGGGTCCACTAAATATTTTATGATACAATAATATGAAGCCTAAATTATTGTGAATTATGTTTTTCAACTTCAGTTTTGATTATCTGTCCATGTTTGTTCATCTTTTAATGGTATGTGAGGGCATGAAACTAGTATTTCCTTTTTAAAAAACTGCTTTAGTATTCCCACAACTGGCATTTAGGCTTTGTTTATCCCTTTTATTATGAAAGTCAGAGTTTAGCTTAATTATGAACTGACACAAACATCAGTGAATCAGTGACTTTCTGAGACAGAAGTTAGTCAATCCATGATAAACCTATAGAAGAACAGACAGACATTCAATTACGCCGAGTCCTCTTTGATCTACTCCTGAATACTTTCTTTTAATGTTGCTTCTACTAACAAGATTGCAAATGCCTTGATGGTATCTTTGTTTGCTCCTGGTGTTTTGCACAGAGCACATATTCAGTAAGTATTTTTGTGCATCAATAAATGTTAACACAAAGAAGCATCATTTGACTTCATTAGAAAAATAAGGCACATGCATTAGTTTCCCTGATTCTGGCTGAATCTGAAGTTTGCATTCAATAGGTTTCACTAAGGAAAAAGTTGCATTGGCTTTCTTTAGAATTAATCCAAAAACCCAAGGATGTTTCCTGCCAGGCTTGGGAAACATGAGGTAAGGACAAGGTATTCACTTGGCAGGTCCCCAAGTGGCATCTGCCAGCACTTACAAATCGAGCTTTCACTCTCTTGGGTAACTCTTCATCTAAAGTGTAGATGTCCTCTCTCTTCATTGCTATCTGGGACCCATCTTCAAACTCAACCTAATGAAATAAGATAATATGATACACATTAAAAAAACAGCACTGACCATTTTTAAAGGTTCCAATTAACTACATAAAAAGATGAAAAGGACTCAAACAGAACAAACAAGGGAACCAGCTGAAGACCAAAGGAAGTAGGATGAGTTATTTCCCTTATTAAACTAAGTAGAGGCCGGGCATGGTGGTTCACGCCTGTAATCCTAGCACTTTGGAAGGCTGAGGGAGGCAGATTCCAAGGTCAGGAGATTGAGACCATCCTGGGCAACATGGTGAAACCCTGTTTCTACCAAAAATACAAAACTTAGCCAGGCATGCTAGTGCATGCCTGTAGTCCCAGCTACTTGAGAGGCTGAGGCAGGAGACTTGCCTGAACCCGGGAGGCAGAGGTTGCAGTGAGCTGAGATTGCACCACTGCACTCCAGCCTGGCGACAGAGTAAGACTCCGTCTCAAAACCAAAAAAATAAATAAATAAACTAAATACAAAATACATTTTAAAACAGGCCAAAATTCTTGGAAATGAGTGTCTTGGAATATGGGATATGAAAACTTTATCTGGCAAAGCAAAAACAAAAGTAGCTGCTGATCAAATGGAAATCACAAAACATGAAATTGTGGGAAATTTAGCATTAAAATGGGTTGGATCTGTTAACACCATTTCTTTAGGAGGCTCTGACAACATAACAGGAAGAACTGTTTCTCTCTGTGAAAGGAAATATAACATATTTCCTTTTTTTTCTTTTAAAATTAAGACAGGGCCTTGCCCTGTTGATCAGGCTGGAGTGCACTGGCCTGATCTCAGCTCACTGCAACCTCAACCTCCCAGGCTCAAGCAATCCTCCCACCTCAGCCTCCTGAGAAGCTGGAACCATGGCCATGTGCCACCATGCTCAGCTATTTTATTTTATTGTTTTTTAGTAGAGACAAGGTCTCACTAGACTCAAGCAGTTCTCCCACGTTGGCCTCCCAAAGTGTAGGGATTACAGGTGTCAGCCACCATGCCCGGCCTGTTTACAGTATTACATAATAATCCTCCCAGATAAAATAATTTCTCCAATTCCTACAGAGCTTGAACTTTCAAAACTCACTTGTCAAATTAAATCAAATGCCATCAAAGGAGCCAGGAAAATCTGTTTCTCAACTTGCTAACATGTAAACCTCATCAATGTGTGAAAATACATCATTATCTAAAACAAAATGTTTAAAACTTTTTTCACACTAACCAAATGGAAGCAAATAATTTCATAACCAATTTTTTTTTAACATTTTAAAATATTTTGTCAAAGAAAAGATAAGTAACCGCATTTGGTTAGTGCTACATGTAAGAAGCTTTACTTTTGCACTTACTATTTAATTAAATGTAATTAACAGAAACCGAGAGCACCTAGGTTTAGATTGGTTTAGGTTTAATCCAACATGAACTAATCTAGCCGGAAACAAAAGGGATGTAATCAGGTAGAATACTTAATATGTTCTAATTCTGAACCACATATTTTTCAAGTCCCTAAATTTTGTTTGTCTGAATTTTTTACTTTTAGGAAATGAAAATATGCTTGTACTTCTTGTCAAGAGGTAAGTTAAACCACACAGCAGTGCCATGTTAATAAAAAAAATCTAGAGTTTGAAAAAAAATTTACACTTATTTTTGGTTTTTGTTTTTTTCTTGAGACGGAGTTTTGCTCTTGTTGCCTACGTTGGAGTGCAACGGCATGATCTCGGCTCACTGCAACCTCCGCCTCCTGGGTTCCAGTGATTCTCCTGCCTCAGCCTCCCAAGTAGCTGGGATTATAAGCGTGCCGCCACCATGCCTGGCTAATTTTTATATATTTTTTTAGTAGAGACGGGGTTTCACCACGTTGGTGAGGCTGGTCTTGAACTCCTGACGTCAGGTGATCTGCCTGCCTCGGCCTCCCCAAGTGCTGGTATTACAGGCGTGAGCCACTGTGCCCAGCCACACTTATTGTTTAATTCACAGAATGTCCAACTGATATATCGCTGTACTTTGCATTAACAAACACTCTCTTAAGCTTGGGTGGATGATAACATTAACTGGCCACATCTGTGCCAATGCATTGGTCTAGGTTCTCTGAGACGCCCAGGTGGGCATGTCTCTCAGGCAAAAGTTACCAATTCTGGTTGATGAACATCCATCACTGTCTTAATAAAGATCAAACACATAATTGAATGTATTATTATGCACGTACTGTTAGCATTTTGAATAAGCTAAACAATACAGTGGAATTAGGTGCCAGTCACATGAGAACTCTTGCTGCCACTTCCGGGAGGGCTGACAATAGGAAGGGTTTTCTTCCTGGCCTTGTTTGAGCAGAATCATTTCTTTAACATTTAACTAGGCCATAGTGTCATCTGATTTACACAATTTGATAGCATAGCTAGAACCACCTGTGCCTACTTTCATTTGTTTTAGACCACTTAAAACATCTAAAAGACAAAAAGCAATTACAAACCTAGAAGGGAGTATGCTCTGCTAGGACTAGGGTAACCAACTGTCCTAGTTCACCTGGGACTCAGGGGTCCCTTGGGATATAGTTATTTTCAGTACTAAAATCAGGGATGGTTCCAGGCAAGCAGGGATGGTTGTCCACCCTAGTTAGGGCGGAGCTGAGAGAGAATTTTGGCCCTCTCTTTACCAGCTGTGTGCTCTCGGACAAATTATTAAAAAAATTATTCTTAAATCATTAAAATTTGGTTCACAGCCTTTCTTCCCTCATTTGTAAGACAGGAGTCAATAACATCTATTTTGTAGGACTACTCTGAGGGTCAAAAAATGCATATGCCTAGTATATTAAGCACTGTGCAGCAGGTATTTATCTGTCATATCTATTTTTAAAACTGTCTTTATTTGATGGTGAAGTTTAATAATTAGACACAAAACACAAAATGATCTCAAAAGGCCACTTGGCTTAATGAGGAATTTTAAACTACTTGTGCTTGAGAGACAATTTTAATATTAGTCTTAACTTTTTCATTGAGTCTATAAATATGCTTATAGTTTTATGTTGATAGACCATCATAAATTCAACTGAAGTTAACACACTGATTACTAATTAGCCTGAATTTCAACATATTCTCATTATGTGATACTTTTCATGTAGCAAATGGCTTTGCTACATGTAAGAAGCTTTACTTTTGCACTTATTATTTAATTAAATGTAATTATTTTATTGTGCATTATGTAGTAATGCTTCTTTTTCTGGATCCTCCAGTATTATTAGTCTGTCTTGCGATTTTTGCCTGATTCTGGTCATTCTAATGCAAAGACACTCCAGTACCTTTACTATTATAAATAACTTGAATTTGTGTCTTGAGACCATATGCAAATACCATATGCAAAGGGAGAAATGGCCTTTACACAGACACACAGACACACACACACACACACACACACAAAATGTATGTGCATATATCCTCCCCTATCCATTCTCCTTGGGTTTTTCTAGACCATGAAAAACACTCTCTCCTAAGTTTTTCAAACTTCTTTGAACACCTTTAATTGCACTGTGCTCCAGTTCCTGACGCAGTGTCTTATAATGCACTCTTCCATTTAAGCTCTTGCTCCTTATCAGTCTTTGAACAATTTCTCTGTTGAAACTGACAGTCTTATCATTCTCAAGCTGTTTTTCAACAGGCCTGAACCTTCTTGCTTTTTCTCCTTTTACTTCAATCCTCCTGTTTTCACTCTACAGTTTAGCCTGAGAATCTTGATTTCTGACACCATGTTACTGAAAAGTCTACAATGTATTGGCTCTAAATGTCCCCTTTTAAAACCTTTCTGAAGGAATATAAATGTACATGTGCTACCCATGTTGTTTCCCTTATTAAAGCTTAACTCATTCTCATTTCTGGGTGAAATAAAAGTAATTCATTTTTAAATTATATATATACTCTTTAATACTATGTAGGGTTCCCTAGTATGTCCAACTTTTTTTTATTCTAGGGTTCCCAGAATGTCCAACTGATAGCCGTACTTTTCATTTAAAAAAGCATTCCTTTAAGCTTGGGTGGATGATAATCATCAGCTCCTTGTGACATTAACTGGCCACATCTATGTCAATGCACTATTGTCTAGCTTTGCAGAGATAGGGGGTGGAGTGGGGAGAGTATGTCTCTCAGCAAAAGCCACCAATTCAGGGGCTGCTGGTTGAAGAGTGGCCATCACTGTCTTGGCTGAAGGTGAGATGAATCGGCCAACTAGTCTCTCCCCATACAACAGAAACAGCGGGAGGCAGCCTGTCTTCTAGTCACTTATCTTTCTGGCAGAACCATATTCCTTACAATTAAATCATTCATCAAATGTTGTTAAGAGTTTCCCAGTGTCCAACTTGGTAATAAAACTCCAGGGTTTCGATCTGGGTCATTACACATTGAATCTTTGCCTCCTGCATAAAATAAGAGGTGCCCGAAATTGATGTGACTTATTGATCAGCAGCACACTTGAGATACTATCTCCTTCTGACTTATGTCAATCTCAGCAAGCATCACAGAGAAGGAAAAACCCACCTGGTACATGTGGGCAATATTTGATCCAAAATATTTTGCTCCATAGAGTTTGCCATCGGGCCACTTGACTTGGACGACTTCTCCCTCGGCAGGTGGGCCCAGCTTCAGACAGTCTCGGCTCTGCAGAATAAACAGAGACAGGCGTTTCAAGAGGAGTGCCTAAGTGACTGCATTTAGAACTTAGCAAATGATGAACTCCTGGCAATTAAAAGGAGTTATTGCCTCTGTGTTTTATGGATTATGATCTCGCATGGGTGTTCAGGGGAAGAGATACGAGCCAAAGGAGTATTTAAAGATTCAGCCTACATCATAAAGTTGCAAAGGAGCCACCATAATCCAAGCAGAAAAAAACAGCAGCATTTACATTTGCTATTTGAAAAAGAATTGTTCAGGGGGTAACTAAAATATGCATAGAAACCGCTTTAGTGTAGGAATAGACCAGCTAATGATTTATAACACCTGACATTTATATAGCATTTTGCAGTTAACAAAATGCTTCAGCATACATCTCATGTGATCTTACAATCAACCCATGACATAGAAAGAGATTATTAATGATCCCCGCTTTAGTGACAAGGAAACTGAGACTCCTGCGAGGATCCTTTAAGTTGCCAGGATCTCTGGAGAAGTGAAGCTGAATGGGAGAATAAAAGACACCCAGGACAGTGGAGAATAAAAGATACTCCACCCAGACAGTGGAGCAGGGGAGAAATGGCGTGCAATTGAAGCGGGCAGGACTTGCCAATGCAGCAGGGAAGGGAAAACAGGAGCACCTGCAGCATGGCAGGTGAAGCTGGGTGGGTATGTCCTGTTTAGCACACCCCTTCTAAAGACCCCCTGGACCTCCCTACATAAATGTGCTTCTGCTAGCATCTCCAGTTAATTGACTAGCCCACCTTTTTCTGCAGGTAACCATGGTGGCACCCATAACCAGAATCTTTTCATTTCAGATCTTCTGTTTCACGTTGCCACCTCCCAAGGCAGTAATTCAGAACAAACTCCCCGGGTGATTAATCCTGAAAGGTGCTTTTATTTTATTTTATTTTATTTTATTTTTAAGGCATGGGAGGGGGACAGGGAAGATAGTAAAACATTTAAACATTTGCTCACACCTAGTTTGCAAACTTTTAAATTTGTATGTATTGAGTAGGACACTATACAATTTTAATACAAGGGAATTAAATACTTGACTATGGTAATTTTTAATTTCTTTTGCACATTTAGCAATTCATGATTTGCTAATATTGGTATTTTACTGATGAGGACAATCTGAATGACTGAAATGCACACTTGACCAATCAAGCTATAAATGCAGACTGGGCACATTCTGTGGTTTAAATGAGAGGCATACACAGGAAATATTTAGTTGTTTATGACTGGAAATCTACCATGTATTATTTCTTATTACTAAAAGAAATTGTGCCTTATAAAGGAGTGGCCATTTGATTGCTGGGTTAGGAGTATACATGGAAGGCCCAGCTGTTCATTTTTCTACCTGCAGGCTATGCTTCCATTAAAGCTACAGCAAAGAAAAAAATAGCTTGCTCAGAGGCTCTACAGAACTGACAATATGCATCTAACTTAGTCAAATGAAAGCAAGTCTTTTGTTGGCCTTCATAATACTTGACCTCAGGACATGCGGAATTGAAAGGGTAGGTTGTAGAGATGTATTCAATGTATGCCCGTGGGGTTACCACCTCTCTTTCCATTTCCCTTCCCAAGATTTATGTGGTACCAAGAACACTGGAAGGTATAGCTTCTGAGTATAAACTGATTACATGTGTCAGTCTCCGAGGTTAGAGAGTCTCATCAGCTCTGGATTCCTCTGAGCTGAAGCCCAGGTGCTGGGGTAAGCGTGGCGGCAGGAGGTGGCATATGCTTTTCCCGCTGCTAACTCTTTCTCCCATGTGGAGGGATCTCCACTCAGATAATACATCTGGCTCATCTTCACCCCCTGTTAACCTTTTACAAGAGGATTGGTTATGACTTACTTTTATTTTTGAATTCTGAAGGAGACTGTATTTCCCCAACTATGTATCATGGTACCCTGGAGTGCCACAGCAAACTCATGGGGACCCTGTAGAATACATTCAAGGGAAGCACGGTGACACTTATGAGGCACCCAGCTTACTAATACTGGTGAGTTATTTGGACCTAATTTACTTAACACATAGAACTGTTAGGCATTTCTTTTGACTGAGAGGCAAAGCATGCTGAGGTACTAAGGGTGCTGCAAGCCAAGAAAGTTTGGTGACCTCTAGCTCAGCACCTTCCCTTTCTCTCTGGAGCCATCATGCAGACAGAGAACCTGCACTCTGCTCTGCTTCTTCCACAGAGAGGAGCCTGCACTTTCCTGCACCACCCATCACTAGGTAAGCCGGTCTAATTCCAGGGTCCGTATTTGAAACCTGTTTGCCCACAGATATAAGCCGCACTCCTCAATATCTGCTTTATTACTCATAAAGGTAATACGTTACACCTCCAAATCCTGACTCCTCTGTCTCGCTTTTCCTCAGGCAGGGTGAGACATGCTATTTATTGGGTCCTTCTCGAATCCCCACAGAGGCAGGTCAAAGCCTCGGGAAATTCAGGAGGCTGTACCCTGCACTTTCTTACCCACACAAACAACTTTCAAGCAAGAGAGTTATGGCCTCACTTTCTTTATCATTTAGGTCCTTAATTTTACAGATTTGCCCTTCAGCAGAACTTTATTCACCTTTAAAATAAAATCCCTCAAAATAAATCCCAACCTGCAATTTTAGGTATCATATCACCAAGGAGAGGTAAGGGACATAGAAACACGGACTAGACAAGCATAAACTGCATTCGAGCAGTTTAATCGTAAAAACATAGTTTTATTAACAAACTGAATGGATGAACTTTACTAAGTGACAATTCTTTTTCAAAAAGGCTTTTGGAAACAATACCTGGGATGCTTTGGTATCTTTTATTACTAATTGTAAACTAACCTTTTACTCACAGGAAATCTTAACTTAGCATTGGGAGTGCCTGACCTCAACTAACTCCTTACTGCTCAGCCTCCTCCTAATGTTGCTCGGTATCAGCCACAGAGATTAAATTCATAATCTTTCATGCCAAACTCAAGAAGACACTTCAGTTTGCTTTCTCAATCTTCTTGCTTTCAAAACTCTTTTTCTTTATTTATAGAAGAAAAATAACAAACCAACTTTGTAACAAGTTAAGTTATTCTGTGCTTCCCCCACCTCCAAAACCAGGGGGCACGATTCTCATCCATAACAGCTCCTTTCTCATCCTTCACCAGGTCATTCAGCTGGAAGGACATGTATTTTGATGAGCATATAACTTTATTTAGTATGTAAAATTCATTATTTACTCCCTAGCTACTTTCCAAAAGAAGTTAAGGTAGCTTGGAGTAAAACATAAAAGCGCTTATTTCTGTAACATCTACTTTCATCATAAAGAAATAGTGTCAATTCATCAGCTGTTTCACATTTTGAGTTTGCCAGCAACTTCCTATGACTACGTGGGATATAAATTTAAACAAGAATGAGACTAGAAGCATGTGGGCTGATGAAAAGAAGTTGAAAGGTTTGATATTTAGGCTTCTCTGATTCTCTCCAAAGTAGAAGCTGGTGGGTGTCCCCAAAATCGTTTCAATCACTAATTCAAAACCGATTTACTGACCACCTACTGTGTGTGAGACACTAGGAGCCAATGAAGCCCAGCGGCCCAAGCCAGAGACAGACAGAGGGCATTGCACCCACACGTGAGGCCTGTCACACTAAACTCCACAGTTCTGTGGGGTGGGGGTCTCCAGGGTCCTTGCAAGGGGGGAGACCTATGAGGGCTTCAGAGTAGAACTTTGATTTTATTTACAAATTAGGTTTCTGAGTAAGATTTTATTTGGGGTAAAAAAGTTTCTTTCAAAAATAAAAGGTCTGGAAGATGGCCAAATAGGAACAGCTCCGGTCTACAGCTCACAGTGTGATTGATGCAAAAGACGAGTGATCTTTGCAACTGAGATACCTGGTTCATCTCACTGGGACTGGTTAGACAGTGGGTGCAGCCCATGGAGGGCGAGTTGAAGCAGGGTGGGGCGTCGCCTCACCCAGGAAGTGCAAGGGGTTGGAGGATTTCCAATTCCTAGTCAAGGGAAGCCGTGACAGACTGTTCTTGGAAAAACAGGACACTCGTGCCCAAATACTGCACTTTTCTCAAGGTCTTAGCAACCCGCAGACAAGGAGTTTCTCTCCCATGCCTGGTTTGGTGAGTCCCATGCCCACAGAGCCTTGCTCACTGCTAATGCAGCAGTCTGAGACCGAAGTGTGAGGTGGCAGCCTGGCTTGGGGAGAGGCGTCTGCTGTTGCTGAGGCTTGAGTAGGTAAACAAAGCAGCTGGGAAGCTTGAACTGGGTGGAGCCCACTGCAGCTCAAAAAGGTCCACTGCCTCTAGACTCCACCTCTGTGGGCAGAGCATAGCTGAACAAAAGGCAGCAGACAACTTCTGCAGACTTAAACTTCCCTGTCTGACAGCTCTGAAGAGAGGAGTGGTTCTCCCAGCATGGCGTATGAGCTCTGAGGAAGGGCAGACTGCCTCCTCAAGTGGTCCCTGATCCCTGTGTAGCCTAAATGGGAGACAACCCCCAGTAGGGGTAGACAGACACCTCCTATAGGCGGCTCCCCATCAGGGACAAAGCTTCCAGAGGAAGGATCAGGCAGCAATATTTGCTGCTCTGCCTCTGCTGGTGATACCCAGGCAAACAGGGTCTGGAGTGGACCTACGGCAAACTCCAACAGACCTGCAGCTGAGGGACCTGACTGTTAAAAGGAAAACTAACAAACAGAATAGAATAGCATCAACGTCAACAAAAAAGACATCTACACCAAAACCCCATCTGTAGGTCACCATCATCAATGACCAAAGGTAGATAAAACCACAGAAATGGGGAGAAACCAGAGCAGAAAAGCTGAAAATTCTAAAAATCAGAGTGCCTCTTCTCCAAAGGATCACAGCTCTTCGCAAGCAATGGAACAAAGCTGGATGGAGAATGACTTTGACGAACTGACAGAAGTAGGCTTTAGAAGGTGGGTAATAACGAACTTCTCCAAGGTAAAAGAGCGTGTTCAAACGCATCACAA